TCACCGGATCTACGACGGAACTCCCGGAAGACCCGGAAGCCGGCGGAGAGGTGAGTACCGATCAAAAGAATTTTAACGATTAATCGAGGATTATCTGCTCTGCAGGAGGAGGATGTTGCAAGAGTCGAGGGCCTGATGGGGGCATGGGGTGACTGTTAGGGGTGGGGGGGCCCGAGAAAATATTTGCCAAGGGTCCAATCAATATTAAAGATGGCCCTGTTGTTAGGTGGTATAATTGGCAAAAGCTTCAGTGCTTCCTCTTAGGGATAAAGTTGCCCGCCCCTCCATCCTTGCACATTCCCATCGGCCAGTGAGGCAAGTCAATCACAGTGATGGGTGCATTAAAATATTTGGGGGCAAGGAATCAATAGCTCCGTCGGCTAACGAAGGGAAGGGGGAGGAGTCCTGTGATGTCACGGACATCGACGTCACCGGATGTCAGTGATGTCACCGGATCTACGACGGAACTCCCGGAAGACCCGGAAGCCGGCGGAGAGGTGAGTACCGATCAAAAGAATTTTAACGATTAATCGAGGAATTAATCGTTAATTTCCGCAGCCCTAATATATATATATAAATAAATGAAACAGCCCTACTTGGAAACATTTGGGAGATTCAAAAGGGGAAGGATCCTTTAATCTATTAGAGGGGGGTAACACCAAGCCTCAAATTCAGCAAGTGAATTAATGGGGGAAGTGTGTTGAGAGGTTGAGAGGAGTCAGAAGACTCTCAACAGAAGACTCTTTTTCCCTCTCCCTCTTTCTTTCTTTCTCTCTCTCTCTCCCCTTCTCTCTCTCGTTGATATGATTCTTGGGCACCAGGATGTCTAAGTATGGCCCTGGCCATTGGAGCTGCTTTGATGACAATTTTGTCAGCAGTAGCTTCTGCTGATCCTTCAGCTCTCTTCGGGCGCCGGAGCCTTTCGGTTCAGTTCAGTTCACAGCTTTGTGAATGACCCCCTTTGTCTTTGGACATGAAAAATTGCAATTGAGCGCCCCCAATCATTAGACTTGCTCCTGCAGATGGGGGGTTGGGGTGAATATGTTGTGGGGTCCGCAATCCAAATCGCCTTCTTCCATTCTCATCCCATCCACAGCAGGCTGTAGAAACGTAGCGCTCTGCAGCTGTTCCGGAGCCATAATCCAGTCCTTACTGTATTACATATCATTCCAGCACACATAATATTTTACTTTAATCCAATCCTGTCTATCAATAAAACAGCTCCTATCTTCTAAAAATAAAGCGTCCCTCCGCTCCAGCCGAGACACAGGTGGATAATATAGTTTTCCCTCCACTGGCTAATAGCATGTCGTTCCCGTCAAGTTTAATATCAGCCGAAGATAGATCCATAGAGGAACAAAGGCTCACAGCAGTGCGTGTTTATTGCAGAGCCTTAAATAATCCTGAGCGCGGCCCTCAGCTGTGCTATACGTTCACATTAAAGGAGGACATCGCCATGGAATAGCTTTGGTGTCTCCTCTGCTATATATATCGGGATGGTGACACCGTTTCACACATTCATGAATAAAGACGCAGATGTTTTCCGGTTGGTCCGAAGCCATTTTTACATTTTTGAACTACAAGCCAAAAGCTAAATACAAATACAGAAGCTGCTTTGCCTGCCAAAGGATTTGCATTTTTGGCCATCTAGTCCTGAGATTGACAAAGCCCTGCCACACAACACAGGCCTGGATACAAGACCTACAGTTCAGTAAAGCTGGCTATACACTGGTCAAGTTTAGGCAGTGGGTTTACAAGGGGGTGCGGCCCGCACCCGGGTGACACCATTGGAGGGGTGACACTAAAATGACTGACAGTCAGGCACTCTGTCACGGACCGAGAACCCGACAGTGTCAGGAAAGAGGAGGGGACCCAGCGGCATACCTCATCCCGCCGGTCGAACGTTCCCTCCTCTCTCTGCCGGCGTCCATCCATGGTGACATCACGCGCATGTGCGATGATGTCACGGCGGGGTGTCACCCAGTCTCTTCTCCGGGCGACACTCGGCCTTGGGACGCCACTGAGTTTAGGTCAAGTCCTCCATAAGTGTATGGTCAGCTCAATGCTTGCAGGTTTCCAACCCACACCCACCCCTGTAGGGAACAGGAGTATGCTGTTTTACTTACCTGAATCCCGCTCCCGCTGGCTCTCTCTGGTCTGCTAGGCTGGTCCCGCAGCCTCTTCTCCCCTTCACTCCAGTGTCCTAAGGACTGCTGAAGTCATCACATCTAATGTAGGTTCCACAGACCTGTATGAGACATGAGGACGGCAAGGGAAATTTCACCTAACGGAGCAGAGGGGGAAAAGAAGAGAGCGCTGACTGCTAGGGAGCGGGCATCAGGTAAGTAAAACCCTAAATATAAATGAGCAGTTTTCCCTTGAAGTGCCAGGGCAGCCCCACTGCAAGGAAAAACTTTCATTTCCCTGGAGTTGGGCTTTAATTGTTCTGTAAATGGTCTACAGATAGGAAAATTTTATCTGTAAAAGTCCCTCTACCTGTATAACAGCTTAATGGTCCTCGCACCTCCATCCCCTTGCCCTGCTGTGTTTCTGGTCCACCCAGTTAGGGGTTTCCAAAGACTTTTCTCCACCTCAGTCCAGGAGGGGAGAGGTGTGCTCATGGTAATGAACATTAACGGGGTGGACGGCCTGGTATGGTTGGGGGTTCACTTTGCTTGGGGGGAGATGTTGATGGTGATAAACCTTTGGTTCTGGTGTTAAGGTGCATATTACCGATGGGTGGTTGCTGCCGGTACCTCTGGCTCTGGCTCTGTCCGGCATCCCACCCAGCTCACTGATGTCACTGGTTGCCAGGAGCTGGGCGGGATGCCAGCCAGAGCATCCTGCTCAGTTCCTGGCAACCAGTGACGTCAGTTAGCTGGGTGGGACACTGGCTAGAGCATTACAGGTCACTAAGAGACAATAGCAACTTGGGATGCTCTGCCTGGAAAGGGTGCAGTAAGCACACCTGCTGCCCATCAATGTTACCCAATGAGATGCCGCCTGAAGCATGCACCTTAGGCCTCCTCATATAGGGAAGGCCCTGCACCCATTCCCTTACATTTTTGCTCCTTATAACACAACATTAATGACTAGATGTCATCCTTGGTCTTTTATTACTGATTACTTTGTTTATTATTATTTGGCTGTTTTGCCTCCGTCTGTGCAATATTTCAATAAACAGGAAATGTCAGTTTTCTCAACCTTTAAAAGATCGATTATCGGGCAAGACCCATAAACAGAGAAAGCAGATTCTACGTATTACCTTCTTCCCGTGATCTTTCAGTGATCGAACCAAAAATCATTTAGACAAAGAGGATTGTCTACATTTAAGTGGGGAACAAAAAAAAATGCAAAATAAATAAATAATACCTTTATTACACTAAAGCAAAATGCTGCCCAATTGTTCTTTTTTCTTTAAGTTTCCTATATTTCTAGAGTGAGCACAGACATGAATAATTCTTCCTGTCTGGGTTTAAGAGAAGAGTTGGTTTTGCTCTTATGGTGTCAAAAACTGAGACAAAGTTAATAGGTTATATTGAGAGATCTGAACGGCTCAGCCATTAAAACTTGGACCAGAGTTTTTTCTTTAAAGCAAACCTGTCAATTGCCCATGGTAGGCAATGCAACATGTTCACTGCTCTGCAGAAACCATAAGATGACCTCCTCTGCCATCAGATCTCCGCAATCTGCCGTCAGATTGTCCTGATCCTCTATTAGATTGAGCAGTCTTCCATCACATAGTCCCAGTCCACCATTAGATTGTCCCAACCTGCCATTAGATCTTCCCAATCCACCATTAGATAGTCCCAGTCCACCATTAGATTGTCCCAACCTGCCATTAGATTTTCCCAATCCATCATTGGATGTCCTGATCCGCCATTAGATTGTCCATGTTAGGCAACCCAACATGTTCGCTGCTCTGCAGAAACCATAAGGCCTGGTTCACACCTGCGCATTCCGAGCAAAACGCGCTTGCGGTGCCATTTTTATCTAATGGCACCCCAAACATGGCCGGCAAGTCGCATGGTTTTCCCCATGTTTTCGTGTGTGCAAACGCGGCAGAAAAAACGCGCGTCGCACAAAATAGTGCAGGAGCATTTTTTACATGTTTGCCGCACCCCCATTGATATGACCCGATTGAAATCAATAGGGGCGCACGGCAAACGCACTGCGAAATGTGCACGAACGCGCATTCCCGGGACGCACAGGTGTGAAACAGGCCTTAGATGACCCGATCTGCCATCAGTTTGTCCCGATCCTCCATTAGATTTTCCATATCCACCATCCGATTGTCCAAATCCACCATTAGATTGTCCCGATCTGCCATCAGATTGTCCCGATCCACCAATAGATTTTCCTTTTCCGCCAACAGATTGTCCCAATCCACCATTAGATTGTCCTTTTCAACCATCAGATTGTCCCAGTCCACCATTAGACTTTCCCAATCTGCCATTATATTGTCCCAATCCACCATTAGATTGTCCTTATCCATCATCAGATTTTCCCAATCCACCATTAGACAGTCCCAATCCGCCATTCGATTGTCCTTATGAGCCATTATATTGTCGCAATCCACCTTTTGATTGTCCTGATCCACCATCAGATTGTCCTGATCCGCCATCAGATTGTCCACATCCACCATTAGATTTTCCTGATATGCCATCAGATTGCTCCAAAATTCCTTTGTTAGTTTCAACTTTCTGGAAGTCAAAGCCTGAATAGGGCTCCACAAGCTCCTCCCCACCCCCACGTGATGGCTCAGACATGGAGCACTGTATTATGGAAGGTGGAAGAGTATCACATTAAGTCCCTCATACCCAACAATGAGTATTTCGCAGGACACTGGTGGCTGCTTGGGACAGCAGAAAGTGGGGAACCTGATAGTGCCTGCTTGGCTGTGTGTCTGTTACTCTGCCTAGTAGGGACCCGGTACAGGTTCACTAGAAGAGACTTTGTTGCCATGTTATAAATGATTGTTATTGGGTTTTTTTTTGCAGGAACTGTTTTCAGAGAATGCTTCGAGAACGGAACCTGGGCCTCCTGGATGAATTATTCTCAGTGCGTGCCCATCCTGGATAAGGTGAGCCTAAAAATACTGCAAACTCTGCTTATCACAGGAAGGCCCATACACACAGAACAACAAACCGATCCCACAATTAAGATACTTTGTTGTCTTAAGGTTCTGCTCCATCAGCGGCAGATAACAATCTTGTTCCTCTTCATGTGCGTGAGGTGAAACAGACTGTGCGGGTCTGCCCTCTTCAATTTATTTCTGATATTTATCACAGGAAATTTGTCTCTAGTGGTGCCATCGGTTCCTCACCAATGTGCCATTGTCAGGTTGGGACATTTTGGGATTAATTTACTAAGGTTGGAGCTATACAAGTATACAAAGACATTTTAATATCTTGCTACTGCGAGATAAAATGCAAAACCTTTTTTTTTTTTTTTTTTTACTCAGCCTTATAAATTAAAATAGATCAACAGATTTTGCTACAATCCTCTGTTTATCTAGAACTGCCCACTGCAGTACATATTGTCCACCAATAGATGTCGCCAGTTCCTGGTTGAATAACAGTCAGCGAAATTCAGCCCACTTCATGTGAGCCCAAGCTAACATGGACCCGCTTCTGAGGGTGTGTCGTTATGCAGTTGGGGCTCACAGTACTCTGGGACTGAGTGAGGCTCATAAGTCATTAGGTGAGTGCTGCTCAGTCCAGGAGGAAGGACTGCCCACCGCCGCTGCTGAGGAAGAAGAGGAAATGATGACCCATGATGTCATCTGACCGGCCTGAAGACTGCTTTTAGTAGATTTTCTTTTGGTATATTTTCTTTTCAGGTAAAATATAATGTAATATAATACCACATTAATACCACATTATGACCACTAGATGGAGCTGAGGAGCACAGGAAATAAGTAGGGATGCACTGACACTGATACTAGTATGCTCCAATGCCTGGCCCGATACTTGAGATTCCCATATCAAGAAGCCAGGCAGCGAGTCATTACACTCTGCCCGGCTTCCTGATTGGCTGGGAAGCCGGCTCCATGCTCCCTCATCACTATGTGGAAGCCAGGCGACGTGTAATGACGTGTTGCGCAACTTCCTGATTAGCCAGCTTCTCGACCAATCAGGACGCTGGCCAACTCGTCATTACACGGCGCCCGGCTTCCTGATTGGCCAGAAAGCTGGCTCCATGCTGTCTCATCACCTGGTGACGAGGGAACAAGGAGACGGCTTCCCTGCTAATCGGGAAGCCGGGTGGCGAGTCTTTACATGCCACCTGGCTTCCTTAATGGGACTTCCGGTATTGGTATTCGGTATCGGCAAGTACCGGAAAAAAAATATCGGTGCTCATACTCGATACCGAAAAACCGGTATCGGTGCATCCATAGAAATAAGTATAGTTGAGGAGCACAGGAAATAAGTATGTATTATACCACATTATGGCCACTAAATGGAGCTGAGGAGCATAGGAAATAAGTATGTATTATACCCCATTAGGACCACTAGATGGAGCTGAGGAGCACAGGAAATAAGTATGTATTATACCCCATTAGGACCACTAGATGGACCTTAGTAACATAGGCAATAAGTATGTATTATACCCCATTAGGACCACTAGATGGACCTTAGTAACATAGGAAATAAGTATGTATTATACCCCATTAGGACCACTAGATGGACCTTAGTAACATAGGCAATAAGTATGTATTATACCCCATTCGGACCCATAGATGGACCTTAGTAACATAGGCAATAAGTATGTATTATACCCCATTCGGACCACTAGATGGACCTTAGTAACATAGGCAATAACTATGTATTATACCGCATTATGGCCACTAGATGGAGCTGAGGAGCATAGGAAATAAGTATGTATTATACCACAATATGGTCACTAGATGGAGCTGAGTAACATAGGAAATAAGTATGTATTATACCCCATTATGGCCACTTGATGAAGCTGAGGAGCAGGAAATAAGTTTGTATTATACCACATTAGGACCACTAGATGGACCTTAGTAACATAGGAAATAAGTATGTATTATACCCCATTATGGCCACTTGATGAAGCTGAGGAGCAGGAAATAAGTTTGTATTATACCACATTAGGACCACTAGATGGACCTTAGTAACATAGGAAATAAGTATGTATTATACCCCATTAGGACCACTAGATGGACCTTAGTAACATAGGCAATAACTATGTATTATACCGCATTATGGCCACTAGATGGAGCTGAGGAGCATAGGAAATAAGTATGTATTATACCACAATATGGTCACTAGATGGAGCTGAGTAACATAGGAAATAAGTATGTATTATACCACATTATGGCCACTTGATGAAGCTGAGGAGCAGGAAATAAGTATGTATTATACCACATTAGGACCACTAGATGGACCTTAGTAACATAGGCAATAAGTATGTATTATACCGCATTGTGGCCACTAGATGGAGCTGAGGAGCTCGTAGAACAGAGGTGGCCCCACTGGAAGTGTTAAAAAATATTAATTTCTTCTTTAAACTTTAGATGTGCTTCAATATTAACATTGTCTGAATAATTGTGGTTCCGATATGTCGTCCGGTTGGAATATAACTTCTCTAGTCCATAAACTTTTACTCATCCCAAAATAACCCATGTGGAGGTTTGATGATGAGATTATCTGCCGTGCGGGGAAGATAATTACTTCTCCCTAAGCAGATTAAATGTCCTGTAACGTTATTGCAGAGAGTCAGGCTAATTGAATCATATTATGTTCTTGTCTGCAGAGGAAGCATGATCTGCATTATAAGATCGCTCTTATTATAAACTACCTGGGGCACTGCATCTCCGTGCTGGCTCTGGTCATCGCTTTCCTGCTGTTTTTGTGTTTAAGGTAAGCCGTTTTCTGTTCTTCTGGAAGGTAATGCCCATGTAAAGTCAAAAACAAAAATGTAACATATTGCAGATTCCCTGTCCTTAGATGTGGCAGCTGCTTTTGTTTTTCAGGCTTCTTTCCTTTATTTTTACCTGTTGATCCTGCCGGTAACACACTTCCTGTCCTAAGGTGACAATGCTCACTCACTGTACTGTATCTATGGAGGAGCTGTGCTGTCACTCAAGGACAGGACTACAGAGCACCTTCCCATCTCCTCATCCTTGTTACATAGAGAGAAGAGGTTGTGTAGCTCACAGAAAATAGGGAAGGTTGACAACATGGTATGAGTTCAGGAAGTTATTATTTCTGGTAGGATCAAAAGTTTTTTCTTGCAGAAAATGGACTAGCAGTCTGGTTGAAATATATTGCATTTTTGTTTTTGGATTTAGATACACTTTAACCATGCATCTATAGCCAATTGTTTTTGGAAAGAGGTGTGAGGGGTTAGGTCTCCTGTCAGGTTTTTATTTCTTCTGTAAAACAGCAGCTGGCAGTATCAACGGTGACAATACGGGTCAGTGATTATGGCCCACAGAGCTTTAGTGATCCTGGCCAGCACTGAAATTAACCCTGTATGCCTAAAGCAGTCTTCCTCAAGCTGTAAAAATCCCAAAGGGTCTACTCAGACCCCCCTTTGCAGGTTGTGCAGTAAGGAAATTTTATTTAGCCGTGTTCGTTGTAGAGATTTATTGCCTTCAGAGCTTCTGGTCATCCCGGTCAGCACTGAAACTAACCCTGTATATCTAAAGCAGTCTTCCTCCAGCTGTAAAAAAGTGTTTTCTCTGCTAAATCTGTCATTCTGCAAAAAAAAACCCCAAAAATAAATTTTAACAAACTTTAAATTAGGATAATAGAATAATTTTGTGCACAAGTCATAACATTTATGGCAAAATATAAAATATTGCGATGATCGTTATTATTTCCACTACAACTCTTGTTCAGTTTTCCTACATCATCCTTTTGCTATGGGGCCTCGTCTGCCGTTACAGCCCGAAGTCTAATCATTTTTCGACAAGATTCTTATCACTTCACCTCTCAGCGTTTCACACATGGAGGGTATTTCGGAGATGTTAGCAGATTGAAAACTCGGCTTCCTGTAAAATGGGTCTAAAAAATTTTTAGAAACAGTTTTGCAATTTCATGTTAAATAGATGAACAAGTAAACTAAAAACAAAACAAAAACTGTGCTGCCCTAAAATAAATGAATCAAAATTCAAATGCCCAAAAGCTGCTGTGAAAAATACACTGAGTGGCCGGATTATTATATACACTGAGTGGCCAGATTATTATATACACTGAGTGGCCAGATTATTATATACACTGAGTGGCCAGATTATTATGACCACCTGACGTTTGTAGGCAAATTAGCTATAATTTGGCGCTGAAGTTGCTAGAGGGCCAGACCATTATAAATAGGGAAGCAGGTTGGTTACCACGACAGTAGAAGTGATTTGTTTCTGAAGATACGGGGAAACAACGCGATGTAACAGCCTTTGAACGTGGGATGATTGTTGGCGCTCGGAGCCATGGAGCGAGTATCAGCAAAACAGCAGAATTCGTTAAATTTTCAAGAGCAGCTGTTGTTAAAGTGTTTAAAGACCGGACTGTCAGCCGAAAATCTGGGTCTGAACGTGCGAATTGTGGCCGTCAGCGACTAGTCAATGTTAGGGCAGAACGGAGAGTGGCAAGACTGGTACAAGACAACAGAAGGGCAACAGTGCAGTGTCAGATTCCTCGCATCACCTTTCAACATCTCGTGGAGTCACGAGGCGGCCCAACGAAGTCATCTCGTGGAGTCATCTCGTGGCCCAACGAAGTACTGATGGGGTGGTCATAATAATCTGGCCACTCAGTGTAGAAACAGGAAAAAGATACTGAAACCCCCCTGACAGAACACCTTGTACCATGTTGACGAGGACAAGGAAAAAATGTTTTTTTTAAATGGACACAGGATCCAAAATCCATAACAGACCTTTATACAAGCAGCATGCTGGCTGGCCCGGAAATTGTGTGTGTGGGGGGCCATACCAGGCTGCATGCACTTGACAAAACATCTTGTCCCCATGTTGATTACGACAAGCAAAAAATATGTTTTTAACATTGACACGGGCTTCACAATCCATCTCTCCTACCTCCTGAACCATTCCAGGCCACATGCCCTCAACAAAGGGAGTGTGCCATGCCAGGGAGAGCCAAAAATTTAAAAAAATCTAAATTTAAGGGGGGCCCAGATATCCAGGCCCTCTCCCTGTGTGTATGAGTAAGGGGTACATAGTACATAGTCCATCACCGCAAATCCATCATCATTCGTGTTAGCCAGAGATGCAGCCCCTTGTCAATCACGATGAACGATGCCTGTTGACCCGCTGAAACAAAAACAAAACCCGGCACCCGCCCACACTTTCGCACACGAATGACAGCTCCAGCAATGACAGATGCCAACAAAAAGGGGCGGGGAAGGTCATTGACTAAATATGGTCATGGCCATATATAGTCAATGATGTCACAGCATTCCCGCCCCCGGTCGAGTTTCCCGGGCTGACAGCTGAAGGGGGCCGGGATTGAGTGACTGGTTGCGATGCTGCCGGTGGCTGTTTGCTTCCTCTCACTCAATGTCCCGGGGAAGTTGTCACATGTAGTAGTGGTAGCAATACTGCTACTATATGGAATACTTCGGATGTTGGGACCCACCGAACACCTGATATTGTTCCAATGTTCATCCGTACTCCAAACATGCAAAAACTACATGTACATCTAAGACTACCCAGTCTAAGGAGTGACAACGCTACTGCATTGTTATATAATTGTCGCCCTGTTAAAGGAAGCGGAACATCAATGGATTTACTGGAAGGATCAACAGGTAATAAAACTTTGTTACAGGGGGAGGGTGGTGGGGTCTTAGACAAACTGCAACACAGATAAAATCAGCTATCCTGCCAGACAGGACTATGCTGTGTGTCAGAGCAAATCTCAGGACTGGCTGGACAAGAATGCAAATCCTATGGCAGGTAAAACAACTCCCATACCAGTGTTTCATTTGTATATTTAGCTGTTGGCCCGGAGTTCACTGAAATAATAACTCCAAATACCTTCCTTTCAAATTCATTTTGCAAAAAGCTTTAAAAGTTTTCACATGAAGAAGCGACTTGGAAGGTATTCATAACACATGATGAATGTGGTCCAAGAGGTCATACCAACGGGGAGAGTCAACGAGAAGAAACGATGACCTGTTACAGAGCATGAAGATGGTTTGAAGATGGGAACATTGGATGATGTGTTTCTGTCAATGTTCTTCATGACCCCAATTAAAGCATTTTCAGAAGAGAGAAAGCAGGTTGGTTCAGTTCACGGAGCTTTGATCTTTAAATTGGACACAATCCTCGCCGAGACAAAGTAGCCAAGAAGGGTTGCTGCAAGACCCATCGAAGATAGGAAAGGTTGATATATATTATTGAAGGATTCGGGCTCGTTACAAAGAATAAGGCTTTGAATGCATGTATTGTGAGTGAGAAGTCAGCAACGTCTGCTCGGGGTGAAGGTTTACAATGTTTATTTAGAAGAGAAGAGTTCTAAAATAAAAAAAAAGAAAAGAAAGCGGAGATCTTCAGACAAGTGTATTAAAGAGCTGACCTTGTGATCAAACCGGAGGCTCTTAAGTCCCAATCCTGGACAGTTGCCTTGTAGGACCTTCCGAAACATAAGCATTTTACATAGAGGTGCACCGAAATGGAAATTTTAAAACCGAAACGAAACCGAAATTAAAAAAATTGTCAGGCCGAAACCAATACCGAAAATGTTTTTTATTTTAATTTTTTCACATTTTTAAAATATTTTATTTTAAAGGAGAACGGAGTGCTTTTCACTCACCTCATAGTTCTAGCCGACCTGTGACAATGAGACTGTCACAGGTCGGCTCAGTAGATCGGGAGGTGAGCGAACACATACCGGGTTCGCTCGCCTCTCGATCCTGTCACGGCTCTCTGCCGTG